ATATAAATTGAAGATTTAGACAGAAGCTTACCGATTTAGCTGGCTACAAAAAAACGTCTCCTAAAGGAAGGGCTAGAAGCCATAGCAACTGCAGTTTAGAGCAAATGTAAAGGATGGATGAGAGGAAGGAACATGATTTTAGCTAATAGGACTTCTCTTTCTTAACTTATTATGAGGTGGTAAAAAGACTGTGGGAAGGGATACTCCCGTATCTGGCAGTAAAAGCTATGTATTTCACGAGGATCTTAAAATAACTGAAAAAAGAGTGTCAGAGCAGACTACACTTTTAAAAGGATCTACAGGATACTGAATTCATGCAATTAGTGATCTTATATCCACATAACTTTCACTAACTGTACTTGATAACCAAATTGTGCTTTTTTCATAAATACTTTTTCATTTCTGTCTCTTACCTGAAGAGGCTCATACCAGAATGGTAGCTTAGAGCCAGAGCTGAAAAAGTGCTGACTGGTGCACCAAAGAATAGCCTCATCATTGATCTTCCCTCGGCTTACAAGATGGAGCAGATAACAACAATAAACAAGAGTTTTATGTCAGCTGATAAAGCAGCTCATGTAATGACGCAGCTGTGAGATGACCTTCTCTGAATCATGAGCAGTCTGGAGAGCAACTAGAGTCTGAAGGTGAATCAAGCACTTTCTCCCAGAGGCAAGTCTCTCCCCAGTGCCGTGCCACTACACAAATGGCTCACTGCAACCCTTGTACACTGGTAAAACTCTGCCAGAAGTAATAATAATCAGAGGGGCCTTTTAAAACAGAATTTTTTGAGAGACAGGGAAAAAAAAAGCTGCTCACGGAATGAATTCAACTATCATCAAGTTAGCCCCCAAAGTGAAAAGGTTTGAATAGCGATTTTTCACCTCCTGCAACAAGTCATCTGACTACATAGCCTAAAACTTGAATCCGGCCCAAATTTCAGCTTTAGAAATTACCTAGTTCTGCCTCCTCTACTCTCTTTCTGCATTATCAACTAGACATGGCTTTTCCCATCTTAAACTGTCACTGAAGAGCTGTTATGCTCCTCTGATGAACACAGACAGACATACATGCTCTCTCAACTCTATTTGCCAGTTTGCAAAAAGATGAAGGTTTTCCCTCGGGTACTAAACAAGTCAGACTGGGTCATGGTCCAGCTCTCCCACAAAGAAGCAGTACAGAAAGATAACTCCATCACCAAAATATGTCTATATATACATAGAAAGCTCATGAACAAATAGCCAACAAAAGCCTGTTTGGCAAAAGTATGGTAAGCCTCACCTTCAGTCTGCAAGTATGATACGAAGCTTGGCTCCTACCCTTCCTGAAACTGCTGGCGGCTGCTCTCCTAGAGGTTAGCCGCTTTTAGGAATGTTAGGAAATTATTCTGAAGCCTCAGCTGAAAAAAACCCTCAGAAAAGCCAACAAACAAGATGTGTATTACCCAAAGAAGTACAAAAGACCTACTAGGTACTCTGAATTATATCTAGACTTAAGAATGTATTCTGCGATGTGCAATATATTTGTTTGTCATCACATGTGAAACCAGAGTAAAGTTTCACAATTCTATTATATTTATATTCTCCAGCGATGTTTACATACCTCTGTAATAAATTCCTTCACATGTTTATTACTCAGTTGGCCTGGAGCGTGCTACCTCTTTGCTGTCATAACCCAGCAACTAACTACTAGGCTAGAGCCAAAGCGACACAAAATCACTGATGAAAACACACAGGAACAGAATACACATACACTCACCCTCATAGAGGTTTCTCCACCATGGGGCTGTTGCAGTCTGAAGACTTGAGCAACCATGTGTTCTGTGGAGGGGTGCAACAGGATACGTCGGGAAGCCAGTCCCACCATTACATACCTGCCCATTGGAGACAGGCTCACAGAAATGGCATTAGGGCCTATGAAGAGAAAAGAGGGTTATTCCTCTCACAGTTTGACGTTCCTTCCCATACTTCATCCTCACAGCTTCTCCATTCCCTTCCAGCATTCCCGTAATGTACAACATACTAAGCTCATTATTATATAGGGTAGAGAAGAATAGAGAAGACCTGCAGAGGTACAAATCTTGTGCTACATTTCCTTGCTGCAAGTGTCCTCCCACTAAGACAATGAAGTTTTCTAAGGAATAAAGAACTATCCCTTAGCAGCTCCCCCATACCAGCACCTTACATTCCCAGACCATACCGCAAGCTTCTCTCCAGCAGTACTATGTTTGTTGCTGGTTGGAGGCCAAGAAAATATTTCCTGTTACTACAACCACCGGTGCTCAGGCTATTGCATTTCTCACTGAAGGCTGAGTTCTGAGGTAACTTCTCGCACCCTCATCCACCCTGACTTCTTGCATGCTTACCAAATCGCTTTGTGTAAAGCATCTCGCCCAAGTTATGAGGTGCCAGAGAATACACAGCCAGTATTCCTTCATCAGGGAAGCCTCTTTGACTGCTGGGAATGAAGGCTGCCAGCAGCTGCCCATCAGCAGAGATATCGCAGCTAGCATCGTTGTAAATCTTGCAGTTTTGAACAAGCACATTCACAGAGGCTGCAAAGAAGAAAGAAACGAACAGTGATTAAAGTACTCGGGTTCAACAGAGAACAAAATAAGATTTAAACCTAATGTTGGAGACTTGACAGTACATGCAAAAGGCACTCAAGACATTTAGCTTCCTCCAAAAGTTTACGAAACGTTAATACCTTGATTAATGTAAAACTTGCTCCAAAACGGAGATAAGACACTGCAATGAGCCCAGGAAATGAAATCTACTCACCTCCTGGAGCCTTCAGCCAAGAAATAGTGGCAATTGCACTTTATCAAACCCCTCTTTTGTTGAGCATAACACCATCCTTTGCAAAGGACAGCACAGTTTAAACAAGTCTCAAATCATGACTCTGACAAACTCCAGCAGTGGTATCATTAGAAACAGCTCAACTTAATTAATTTCCCTTTTTCATGTGGAGCCCCTAGTTCCAAGCTCCCCTTATCTCCAATAAACAGGAGATGAGAGAAAAATTCCTCCCTGCAGATAGAGACATTCACTTCTGACAGCTGATTTTTACACCACTCTTGGATACAGCAAGTGAGAAAGGGCAGAGACTTCTATAGCCAGTCCTCCATTATTTGAGACCCTCATGCAGTCAGTGAAGTACCTGTTCAGCAGACAGGGTAGTGAGCAGCAATTCAAAAAACATAAGTTTTACTTTAATCTCTGCTGGTGATTTGCTGGGTGACCTTGTACAAACCTTTTCCCCTCCATGCCTTGCATATGCAGGCTGTAAGGTCTTTAGGCTACTGAATCTTACTACAAATTTGTGCCATTCTTAGTACAATGAGATTCCAAGGCCTTTTAGCACAGTCATCACCAACAGTTCAATGGTGGCTTGATAAGACAAGGCTGGAGTTATGTTCGCTCCCTCAGCCTGACCTAAATGCGCTCCAGTTTTCACTAAAACTGCTGCAATTATTCCAGGAGATTTGAAGCTGAAACTGCATACACTAGTTTGGGAATGGGGAAATTTCAGAATCTAGTATTTTCAAACTCAAGGGGATAGAAATATAAACAAATAAAAATAAAGCCTACATTTGAAATACAGAAACTTTGCATGCTAGAAGACTGAACACCTCATCTCACATGTCTGAAGATATAGCATCATGTGGAGCACTATGTCAACTTCTACAGTGCAGAGATTTTTTCTAAACCATCAGATCATGCCCAGCCTAGAAGTGGCTTTGATTTGTTCAGCTAAATTTGCAGGTGAGTTTATGAAGGCACTTTTTGGGTTAGATTCCTTAATAGTTTAACAGAAGAATGGTGCCAAGAATGCTTTGTGCATACTTCTGAAAGTCTGAACTTCCAAATCAAATTAAGGCTGTAACTCAATGCTTTAACAAACTGGTGCTGCTGCCAGAAGAAACAATCCCTGCCCTTTGTTTCCAACAACTCTGTGGAAAGAAAGCTACATCAGGGAACTGATACAGCTGAGAAATTACTGACTATTGTCTAGGTCACTTTAAAGCCAGAATAGTTTCCCAACCTGGTACGCCACATGGCCACATAGACACTCGCAGCAGCAGAAAAAGAAGTCACGACAGTGAAGCAGACAGGACTGCTGCTTCTTCCAGAATTGCTGATTTAAAACACTCGCTGAATCTCATCTTTAGCTCTTCTGGTCTTAAAGACATTCTTCCTGGGAACTGCTTTTCTACATGGTTGAGTATCAACTTCTTCTGTTCCATTTAAGAAACTCCAATGAAAGAGACGACGAGGATAAAAAGTGGACTACGTAATTACATTCTGTACCAAACCACCTACACCTGTACTCTAAATTTATTCAACCATTTTTTTCAGTCTCGAAGCTGCTAAAAACAGTAATTTTCAGCCTAGTATAAACAGAAAGGTGCTAAACAGAAAAAGGTAAATAATGGGAGTCACTGTCAGTGCTGTAATAACAGAATCTAAAATACACATGGCCCTTCAAAGAACAGACGGTCCAAAAGATGACAAAATTCCCAAGCACTTAGTCTGAAGCTAGCTGAACAGAAACACAACAGAATAAAGATTAAAGACTATACTATCTAATTTTTTAAAAAGTAGAATTAAAATTTGCCCTTTTTCTTTTTTAAATCCAGGCTTCACTCAAGTAGCCATGTCATCACAAGAGAAGATGGGCACTAACACCAGACCTGCAGTATATGCTGTTAACTAGTAGCCAAAGGATTCACGACAACAGGTTGCACTATTGTAATCCCTGTCAAATTGGGAGGATTCTTGCGAGTTCTTCAATGACTCATTTCAAAACTAGTCCTATTTATTAGCTTTATCAATGGGCTAGGCACAGAGCAGAGCTGATTGATGGCAATTTCATTAACAGAGCATGATCAGACCACGTAGTGAAGTACACAGAGACATAACAGAAGTGAAACGAAAGAATTCTAGAGCGCGTTAACATTTATAAATTTCTGCTTTACCTAGGAGCTTCTCAGTTGGAACCAAGAGAGAATCAACTTTGGTGACCATAGCAAAGACTGAGCTGTCAATCTGGCGTAACAGTGAAAGAGACAGCAATCCTAAACTGCACTATGGAGCACACTTACAATGGAAGTATCAGTGCTAATATACAATCTTGTGCTGAAACTACATGCAGGATACTGGGCACAGTTTTGGTAAGTCATGTTCAAGAAAGATTAAACTCTAATTGGTAACAAGTCCAGCAAAGAGCTAGGAAGATGACTGGGGAAAATGACACTTAAAAAACCCCACAAAAACAAACAAACAAACAAAAAACCAACAACAAAAAATTGCAAGGAAATTGGATTATATTTACAAAAAATACCAGAAAGCGCCAGAAAAACATCAGTTCTCTTCAAAAATAATGTTGACAGGTGAGTAAGTGGCTAAAAGCAGCCATTAAGTTTGGAAATTCAATTTCTACCAGAATAGCAAGATTCTAGAATAGTCTTTTAACAGAAGTAAAAGTGGCAAAGAATTTAACCAAGTTTAAGACAGAGTAAAAGGAACTATAGGAGACAGACTCATGGCTAAGGGGGTCCTTTCTCACCAATTCCTTTGTAGTTCTAGTCTAATCAGCAGTGATCTAAAACACTGAAAGAAAAAAAAGGCGGGGGGGGGAGTGAGGAGGGAATGGGTACTTATCGGACAGGTGAATATATGGACTCTCTCAGCCAAACCCAAGTTAACTACTTGAAAGAGCGCCAAGCAAGAAGGCCAGCAACAGAACAAAACTACACATTACACAGGGAGAGCATTTGTCAGAAATACAGCTATGAAACGGGCCCCCACCACACCCCCTGCAAAAAACTCTGATTATCAGAAGAGAAAATATAGTCCAGTCCCTTTCTTTGGGGTCTAAGAACTGTTTTCTCTCATTCCTATTGTGCTAGATATCCAAGTTTTGTCCTGCATCTCTGGGCTCAGGATGCAGCTTCCATGAGGAAGCCACGGTCTCTCTACAAGGTTAACTACTGTCATTTGATGCTTAATATTGGAAGTAAAGAGATTGTACACTTGCTTCATCAGTCCAAAGGTACGGGTGTCATTTAGCCCAGGGATCCTTCTATACTGATGGACTCTTGATGCTTTTCAAAGAGGTGCAAGAAGTTTTAGAGGGACATGTACTCATTTCTCTGGGCACAGGTGATGTTTCTTCCTTGTTGCTATAACTATTGAAAATCAGTCTATAGAACCCATATCTCCTCTCAGATTTTAAAGTTTGGGTTCTTTTTAATCTAATGCAACCTTGGACATTCATAAGAAAAGAATTTCAAATCTTTATTTGTGTAAGGTAAGAAATACTTGTATTTCTTCTGTATTACTTACAGATTCAGGGACACTGTCACATCTTGTACATATCCTTGCGGTTCCATGGTTATTTTTTTCCTTTCCAGGTCCCTAATCCTCTTCCTCATCTAGCATTTACTGTATGTCTTTTTAAAACAATGTTGGCTTTGAATCACCAGTCACCAAGAATCTATTTATCATCTAGGACATGTTCACTCCTTTTCTATCTACATATTTTTTTCTCTTTTTTCCCCACCCCTCCCTCCTTCAGCACAGCACAGAGGTTTTTGGTGAGCAGTCCACAACGAAGGCCAACATGACTGAGTGTCTTGTTCTTTTTAAAGTTTGTTGCATATGTTGAATGCCTTTTAGCAAAACAGATTGTGAGCTCCCCTGCCAGAAGTGAACTATCTTTCCCCCTTGATGTGTGCCTGGAACATAAAACATCACAGATGCAAGTTGCACTGAACAAGAAAGAGCACCCTTTATTTCAGTCTTTCAATATCTGATTCATGCTGGCATCATGGTTCTTTGCTCTTCCCTCATTTACTAAGGATGAGGGACTAAGGTAGCAGTTACACCTAGAAGCAAGGGAGCCTACTGTGCCAGCACAAAAAGTCTAAATGTGAGAGATGGAGATCTCAGCAAGGTTTCATTTTAAGGAACAGCATCTAAGAGATTCCCAGGACATGGGGAGGATGAAGATACCCATGCATTTGACAAAGCCACAGGCTATTTGATTTCTTTGAGCTTGAGGCCTGATCTATGAAAATGAAGCCAATACAAAAGATTTTAGGGGGGGGGAAGCTATTTTTGGAAAACCATTTACAACAAGGCTGCCCTTTCATCTCTTGTTTTCTTTTGTTGTTAATGCGGCCACCAAGCTGACAGAACAGATCAAAAGAAACATCAGAGAACAAATTAATCAAGCTGTTGTGCCCACTTGGAGTGCTCACACCTACAGAATAATTATGCTTGAAGCCTGGAACGCCAGCAGCAACAGCACTGTTTGCCAAAGGAAAACAGTGCTGGGGGCACCATCCGCTCCCAGCCACTCTCAAGGATGACACTTTCTTAACAGCTGCTCCTGTTTATACATTGTTTAGCATACTTATTCCCCCCCCCCACCTTTTCTTCTTTTAAATTCTTCTGCATCCCACTCTGGATCAGTAAGTATTGATCAAATCACCTTCCTCAAGTTGCAGCCAGAGTTAGAACAGGACAAATTCCGGACACGTGAATAAATATGGAAGAATTAGACCAGTTCAGCCGCAATGGCTAGAAAATGAAATAATGAGCAGTGAGTAGCATAAGAGAAACTATATTCAAAAGATATAAAAAAGAGATAAAATCTTCAAATATTTTACCTGTGGAAAGGCTATACTCTACACTGTTCACCAATGTGATACCTAGCTGCGGGAAATTTTAAGGATATGCAACACTTAGTAGAAGAATATTAAATAAATGTCAGAGACAGTATTGTCTCAGCTGCCAAATAAATTCCTTACCCCGATGCTGATACAACTGACAACTACAGTTTAAGACCAGGTCATGTTCCATTTCAGAGTTATTAAAAGCAAAACAGGCAAAAGGAGAGAAGAAATCTGAAGCCATCTTTTCCATTTTGCAATTAATAAAGACAGACAGGGCAGAGACTAAAATCCCACAGGACCCTGCAAAGTCATTTCCGTAAGACAGCCAGAGTCCTCTTTCGTGAGCTTGCTGGATTGAGCATTAGCGAGGTCGCTGCTGTGGAGCCAAGTCCTGAGCCCAGGGCTCCGCAGGGTGCTGGGGCCCAGCCGCTGAGATCACAGGGCTGCACTAATCATGCTGCTGTCACTGGCTCAGACGCATCCGTTTCAGTGGAAAACATCCTACTTCCAAACTATCTTTTCTTTGTTTAATTGTAACAGGAAGAAGAGCTGCTCAGAGATGGAGGTTGACCACAGAGTCATTTCTTTGATGGAGAGCGGACCTGGCAGGCAGTCCCAAATTTCAGCTGTATCATTTCATCTGCTTGAACTCCCAAACCACTTGTGGCTCAAGTCAGTCCCAGGAAGTGCAATAGCCCTCTCTGTGTAAGTGGACTTTCTCACATGACCACCTCTGATTCATAAGAAATGATAGGAAAAAAAGAAGCTATTGAGGTCACATGTTTTACAGGGAAAATAGTTTATTTCCAAGAGCATAAAGAGTCAGAAAAAAACCTTCTCCAACCCATCACTCCACTGTTACACATTTAGCTTCACAATATCTCTACAGATTTGTGCACCTTGTCAAACTTGCAGCTTGTCTTTGTTCCGTGCCTAGGCAAGCTTGGCAAATACCTGTTTTAGGATGAGCACAGCTGCTACATCTTCATACATTTCTGTTAGACCTTGGCAGAGGGAGATATGGCTAACAATCTAGAAATGCCAGGGCTGGGCTCAGCATGTAAAAAGGAAGAAGCAGAGTAAAACTGAACATTTCCAAATGGTAGTAAATCAAGATGGATAAGTCACGTACTATGAAGCACAAAGTGAGGAGTCAGAGGATGGAGATGGGCTGGTAGCAAGAACCCTGCCTTCAAGAAGGGCACAATAACAACAGAAACTGTAGCCCAGTTTCCAGCTAATTGGAAGCTATGTCAGAATGGAAGTATCCTGGTAGGCGAGAGGGAGAAGACTGAAATATTGATGTCTTGAGGAGCAGATGGTTCTTATTTTGTAAGAGATTCCATAATTATAAACAAACTATTTTTTTTTTTTTTTTTTTAATCCACAGCTTTCTCAGCAGCAGCCAGATGAGGAGCGGGGGGTGGGGTGGGGGGAGCAAGCTATTAGCAGCTGTAGCACTCTTCAAATACTTTACAAGCTTGCAGAGAAGTCCCAAAAAATTTAAGTTAGCAGCAAGATGTTTCCCATTCTGACTTCATCTTTATTCCATTCCAGAGTCTGGCTGGACCACAGAAAGTATTGCCACCACGTGGTAAAACTTTGCCTTGAGCACTGATACTCAGCAAACAACTTTATACTAGCACTACAAAGTCTGGCACATAACAAGACATGTCAAAGCACTGGCACACGAGTTCAACACAATATTCTACTGTCAAGATGATACTGTGTGCTCCTTCCCAAGAGACAGAATGGCTCTCAAGGACAAAATACAGAGCATCTTCCCCTTTTACAATGTCGAAGGCTACCATCCAGAAGCAGGGCTTTTATTTCCCACCAGGCTATAGACATTACACCATAATATTCTATACAATGTGAAGGAAGGAGATGAGACAGAAAAAACAGATACTTCATCTGTAGGAATAACACAGTAAGAGATTTTTTTGTAATGAGATAGGCTACTGGTGGCTTTCCCCTAGCTCCTCCAATTTCCCAGGGACTGGGAGGTAAATAGCCCTGTACAGGTTGCCCAGAGAAGCTGCGGATGCCCCATCATTGGAAGTGTTCAAGGTCAGACTGGATGGAGTTTTGAGCAATCTGATCTATTCAAAGACGTCCCTGCCCATGGCAAGGAGAGGTGGACTAAATGATCTTTAAAGCTCCCTTCCAATATAACTATTCTGTGATTCTGCTATTTAAATTCCCCACACCTCTGCTGCTAAGGTGTTGTTCATGTGCTCCTTTTGTTGGTACTTTAAGCAACAGGACAGTATCTTTCAATGGCTACCTGTGAAAGCAGAAGTCTTTCTGAAAACAGAATCCCTGTTCTCCCTAAAAAAGTCAATCCCTTAAAGCAGAACCCAATCTGTTTATCTGAGAAGTCAAGCAATGAATTTCACATATGCACAGAGATGGCCTAAGCTAAAAATCACTGCACAAAGAAAACATTCATGAATATATACCTCCTTTCGTCATTCCAGGCTGCCACAAACATTTCCGTAGCTGTGCAGCAAACTATATCAGGATACCATTCTGGGTTAAAAATAGCCTTTCTAGTGAAGTTAGTTTTAGCCCTAAAAAAGTCATTCCTTGATCAGTTGACCACAAGCATCAAATATGCTTGTGCCTATATAAGGAAGTCACTTTCAGTACAAGAACTAGCTAATGCCACAGAACAAATGTAAAACTATGGCTTGATTTTCACTAAGGGAATAGAAAACACATACATAAATAAATAAATTCAGAAATATTGCTCGTATTCTTGACCCAAAAGCAGCTTTCATCTGAGAACCACTGCTTTTGCAGACAACTAGAAGCTATATTTACTTCCCTGGCTTGCAACAAACACTCTGGTAAGCAGCAGACCAGGGCCCTGATTCCCAAAATACACTCCCACTCTAATGTCAATAACTTGGAGAATTCAAATCTAATTCATTAACAGGTTCTAACGTAAAGGTATAAAGACAATGTCCCTCTAGAAACTTGTTGGTAAAAGAATAAGGAAATTGGATACAGAAATCTTCTAAGACGACTGTCTATTCCCATGCAAATGTTCACAGAAAAGCTCCGTTTATGCATGGATTTGCTGATAGTAAGAATATACAAGCTAGACAGAGGAGGAACAGCTCTATGCTTTTAGTCAACTTTCTCAAAAGACTAAGTGTTCTACAGTCCCAAATGCAACAATATAATCAAGTTATCCAAAGGGATCTTTATGTTGCAGGCCTTGGAAGATCAGGGAGCTCATGGTAGCTCTGGTTGGTATAGACTTAAAAGAAAGTACTTTCCAGCTTACCATTGCTGATTTCAGGCAGATCAAATTTGGTGAAATCCCACCACTGGAGCCGGTAGGTGGTGTTGGCAATGTTGCTGGCCACAGCTGACTGTCCATCCCCAATCACAGCACCTACAGAAAAGGGGGAAGTAATTAGTAATTTCACCTCCAGAAGATTATCTACAAAAGAGCTAGGGAGACAAAGCCACAGAAAACCTTTCAAATTCCAATACACAAAACTCTAGATTCTTAAAGAAACCTTATTTACAGAAATGGCAAAACCTCCTAAATAAGCCACAGAGCACAGGAACTTAATAGGAAAGCACTCCCTGCAACACATTTCTGAAAGAAAAGAAATTTGATGAGAGGTAAGACCTGCCCAGACTCACAAGGCAGAAATCCCAATCAATTCATTTGGTGCAAATGCATTCTACTTATCGGTACTAGTGAAGCTGTATTTTCACAGACTCAAAATTTTGCTATGAAGGCAGACTATAATACACACTAAGGAAAAGTGTTGCCCTGGCAAATCACGCACATTTGTGGACATAATCCCTGCTACCCCTGTAAACTTCACTCAGAAGATACAGGTTGCCTACAATATTTGGCACATAGTAAGGACTGTAATAAAATATTAGCGAGGAGAACCTATGAGCTGGCCCATTGCTGCTTTGGGTGACCCAACCTAGAGCAGGCAGGGGCTGACCTGACTCCAGGCAAACAACATGACCCTTGCTGATCAGCCAAGGATTTGGGCAACGGCCCAAAGCAGAAAGCTAAGCAGAATACTTCAGAAACTAGCACAAAGAACATAATTTTCCAGGCAGAAAGAAACTGCCACTGTAACTCAAGTCAGCATACATTTGAGAAAGCTCAGCAGCATTAAATGCAATCCCTAGGGAGACAAGTGGAGAGAAGAAACAGTTCTCCCATAATAGTACTACAGGTAAAAATCTCATGCTATTTGCAGTCTCTAAGGCCTTCATGTACATGCAGCCCTTGTACAACTCATACATGCTGGCAACCAGAGAAACTCAAGGTGATAGAATTTGATAAGGGAGAGCATAACAAGATCATTCCCAAGCACTAATGAAGAAAAACACAGCCTCCAGAGTCTATGCAGTCTGGATTTCTGCATCTTCACACTCTGGTGGGAAGCACACAGAAAAGTCAGTGGCTCCACTCTCCCAGCAGGTCTGGCTCAGGACTCTGCTGCCACAGCAGCAGTAGTGGAAGAGATATCACTTTGACAGCTCCGTATCCAGTACACAGCAGGCCAGCTGCCTGCGCAGAGAGCTAAAAGCTTCCTAACTGCTGGTAAATGAAAGTGATGTGGAAGCAGATGAGGAGACTAGAGTGGCTGGATTTTTACTTTTCTTACCAAATCTCAGCAGAACATTCAGGCTTGTAAAAAAAAAAAAAAAAAAAAAAAAAAGGCCTGAGAAAACACACAAACTCTAACAGGGTTTATGTTTTCTCTGCAAAGAAAAGAACAAGGCGGTCAGGGCAAAGTAACGAAGCAATCCTAGACCAGTGCTGATAAATAGAGAAAAAGACACCAAGGTGGCTGCTGCTAGTTCTTTTTTCATCGATAAGTTGTCTTGATTCTTGATTTTTGGTTCTGGAGAAAGCTCAGAAATAGGCCAAGAGCAAAACTTCTGAGCAGACGGCTTTACGCTGTCTACTCAGCTGTGCCAGGCCTCCAGCAATTGACAAATCTCCACCATGCGTCTGCTCTGTCTCTGTATCTGTCTCTGTCAGACATGCACACATCACTTGGAGAGCAGAATTAAGAACATTTCCCATTGCTCTTACATATGCCCAAGGCCTTTGTCTCCATATCCCCCAAAACAAAGGGTTCCTCCGAGCAAAAGATAAGCACTGGAGAAAGTAGATTCGATGCATTAATGAAATTACATTTTGCAAGCTGGAGTGGAAGAAGGACAATTAAATTTTATGTTGCTTCATCTTTAAGAGTCTCTTCATGACAAGCCTGGGTTTGGTACACAAGGGCGGCTCTTCTGCTGTCTTGCCTCCAGCCACCAGGTGGAGAACAGAAAACTAGTTTCTGTACAAATTTCAAGCAGCAGGACTTGCTGCAGGGAAACGGTAACTAACCACTAACTAGGTAGCAACTGTCTTGTAGTACTAAGTCAGAGGAAATGCTCTGCAAAGACAGGCAAAGGAAGTACTACTCGGGGCACCTAATTCCAGAATATTGATCTTATTACAGACGAATGTTACAAAGCCATCACCTGTTTTGCAATGAGAACAACCTTTGTAAGCACAGCAAGTAATATACAAACTGGAGAATAACATACCCTAGGATAGTCATCGTGCTCTCCCTATGCATCACTGAAGCGCAGCAACATTGCTACGGCTCCGCAAACAGCAAGTTCATCTGGCTCATACAACTGTTGCACCTACTGCTACAAGTACCATAAAAAAAAAACAAAAACAAAAACAAGCTGTTCACAAATGGTTTTGGCTTTTCCTGTAAAGATTCTGATCTTCTCATCCCTTTCCCCAGAACCTTCAGGTTAGTTATGGTATTCATCTAAGCCTCATGTCCCCTTCACCTCCAAAGGCTGCCACGTCCTACACGAAAAAGCTAACAATGGAAAAAAGCAGTACCTCCCCAGCCACAGGACAGTCCTGCACAAATTTCAGAGCCAGCAAAAGCTATCAGCTAATGCTAGTGCTTCAGGTAACAGATATCTTTATTCATAAGATTAAGACAGAAGAACAAGATCCATAGAATGAAAGGTGCATGTTCAGAAGTACTTGGTCATTTCTCAAAGGCTCCAAACCAGTGTCTGCCTAACACTAATGGCAAATCCATGATCTACGTGTTTTTATTAAGTAATTACCTCTACTTATACAAATTATGTAATTGAGAAGTGTCACTATTAAATTATATCTAGCTACATATAGCAAAGTCAAAAAACATTTGTATTGAGTTCTGCCCAAAGCCTCCCACATGCGCTGTCATACAGTAAAGAAGACTGAAAGCATGCAAACATTCTATTTATGGAGGAAAATACTCCCCAGTACACAACTATGCTATCCTAACCTTAGTTGTTTGCTTTTTCCATTGCTTGGCAGGGAAGACTTGAGATTATGAGTGGAAAACTTAAGTTAAAATCCTCACTACAGATCTTTTGTTCATCACGCAGTGCGAGAACTCGTTCTCAGCTGGCTTTGCCCAGTCAGGGTTTCAGCCTGAGTGAGGGCAGAAGGAGGTGCTGTTTCCTTTTAAGTTCTAGTATAACCTGGAGGCAAACAACACACTTGCAACTTCTCAAATTTGGGCAGCAGCAGATCAGCTCTTACAAGCAGCAGTTCTCACCAAGCGCTTGACAGTCTGTCCTGATTCCTGAGTCTTCCACCACTTGATGGGATCACAAGTGACTGCAGTGGGTACCCGAGGGTCTCGGGCTTGTCACCCCCACGAACAGAACGACCTTTTGCTGCAGAGATGATGTAGATTTCAAAATGCTGAAATCCAAAGTGAAGGCCAATTGAAATGCAGTGAACGTAGGTTTGATTGGCAGCTTTCCTGCGTCTGTCTATCACTGCGTAATAAACACTGGGTGATGGCAGAAATGAAGATAAATGCTTTCAGCAGCCTCCCCTTCTCCCCCCACCACCCCGATCTCCATCCACCCCCACTCAGCACATGACAAGAGAGTTTAAGGAGTGGGGGGAAAAGAGTCTTAACAAAGACTCAAAAAAAAAAAAATCCTCACATCTTTTCTTACAGGCCACCTACATGTGACAGATATTTATCCATCAGTCTCAATCCCCTCAGAGGGTCCAACTCATTTCGGCATGTGGAGAAATGAACCTTTGCCAGTCGGCTACTGCTCATTTATGAATCAAGCCATGCAAGCAAATGTCTGAGTTTAGATTGAAATGGAAAAAAAGCGGTGCAAAACCACTTCCCATGGCACTCCAGCACTCCTTCATCAGTGAAGAGTAGGATAATTCCAGACTATTACTATCAGAGACACAGCTAATACTCTAGAGCTACACAGGCTTTGGGGTACAAGTTTCAAGAACACAGAACATCTACTTATTATGGGAATTTCTTTCCCATGTATTTAACAGAAACCAGAGCTCTTTTTTTTTTTTTTTTCTAGACTACGTCCTTTACTCAAGTTTTTAGTGTACAGTAGATTCTCTCATAGTAAGAGAAAAATTTATTAAGATGCTTACAGATAAGCTTGAGGAACCTGGAGAAGTCCCTGAGCTAATTTGTGACTCAATTTGAGACAGTCATTAGGCCCTGGTATAAAATTCCCCCTAGATTAGTACTTGCATCTTTAAGCATGAGTACCTTTGAAAAGTAATTACCTCTTTATGAGCCCGTTTGTAACTGTAGCTAATGATACTGAGGTTATCCTACACTTGCAGAAAGGGTCTATCACAGCTGATGAGTTTTACATTTACTAGTTCTAGATTTACTATAATCCAGGCTACAGGAATCCCAAAACACAAGACAAATCTATTTGACAAACCAAGGATAAAGCTCTTTGCTGCAAGAATACACCAAATTCTCTCAAGCAGTTCTGAAGCAATTTGAATTCAGCTGAAATGCAATTACTGATCTCTGAAGCCTAGTGGAGATGTAACAGGTTCTTGCACATCTCTGACCCTAAAGTATTTTATGGGGCAGCCTGGTTTTGGGGACTACCTTTGATCACAGTAAATATACTAAATCCTGAATATGTTTGACAAATCCTAGCAAATCTCTGTTCCAGGCTACCACGAAGACATTGCCTTTGAAGTGGCCGACCTAACTATCCAAACCCAGGATAATGCTGTAGAAACAGTATTCATAGCAACCTGGTATTTTCAAGGATTTATTTTGCTTGTTCTTAAATGTACCAGCAAGTTGTAAATAGGAAGTGGGCAAAACGATTCTCATGAATGGATGCACAAAATATTACTAAGGGTAGTCTGGCATATGCCAAGCACTGAAGGGATCGTAGATGCAACATTAACTGAGAAAGCCTCAAAGAGGTCTATGCTCTCTGAAGGCTGAACCCTTCAAAAGGCTATTATTTTCCCTTTACCCCAGTGTACAAATGAAGAAGAAATACAATTTCCCATTCATGCTCACTCCTATT